GGGAAGCTAGTGAGGCAGGAGTGGGGGGCCAGAATGGGAGGACTAGTCGTGAGACATTCAGCTTTTATCCTCACTTTGCCATTCACTTAACTGTGATCTTGGCTGTATCATTTGGTATTTGTCAATGGTCTAGAAAAAAGACAGTAAATAAATTTTGTTGTCTGGATTGTCCTCCATCCATAAATGGGTTTCATAACATAAAGTTGACATTTTTTTTATTTTCATCTTTTTTTTTTTGGTCTAGACTTTTGAAATAAAGGGATATATAGATAGAGACATGTGGAAATGCATGATGCAAGTACCCTGTCAGGTTAGCCAGCCCATGCCCTGGAGACCTGCGTGAGATGGTGGCTTATAAATAATTTTCTGTTCTTTTAAGATTACTGTCTGTTCACAGGCAGTTATTGTTTTAACTTAGATAAACTATCATCATCAGACTACTGATCTAGAAACCAATTCTTCACTCATAATGTTTCTTCTAGGTTTGTTTTTTCTGAAGCAAAACTTCCTACATTGGAATCTGGATAAAGTGTTGAACAACGCACCAAGTTTACTTCTGTTCAACCTGTTAACTAACAGTAGAATCAAAGCATCTACTATTAATGTTTTCCTTTTTCTTTTTTTTCTCCCTAGCATTAGTAGGACACAGATTATTAACTTGCAAAAATCGTATCTTTTTTTATTTTTTTTAACACAGTTCTGCTCCATATGGGTGGGATAGATCTGTTGGGGATGTTCTGCTGTGAATATCTACAAGCTTGTAAAGATACTTTCCTCTGGTAGAAACCTCCCAGGATTGGCCCTCTGGAGGACAATCAGCCAGAGTCTGTGCTGTAGTACAGGATGAACAGTAATTGTTAAACCAAGTGAAAGCCTTCCCTTTTTAGACAATTGTTTTGGCTTTTTTTTCTGGCTGTATATTTTTTACTTCATGTGGCTTAAAGCATAAAATTGTGGAATTGGGAATTAAATGTGTTAATTTCTCGGTGGAACTACCAACACGGTCAACACAATCTATCTGAATTTTCTGATGTTCAAAATAAGGATAATACTACCTATTCCCCAATAGTATAGAAAAATGGGGAAACAAAAGTCTAATTTGAAAGATGATGAGAAATAGTAATTTAATAGAAAATAATGAGGTAATACTATTATGTTATAATGCCTTTATTTTTATCTCACTGTTTAAATGATATCTCTCTTTAAAAATCTACACAGATGGTTCACAAGCACCAGCCCGACCCCCTAAACCACGACCCCGCAGGACTGCACCAGAAATTCACCACAGAAAACCCCATGGGCCTGAGGCAGCATTGGAAAATGTAGATGCAAAAATTGCAAAACTCATGGGAGAGGGTTACGCCTTTGAAGAGGTGAAGAGAGCCTTAGAGATAGCCCAGAATAATGTCGAAGTGGCCCGGAGCATCCTCCGAGAGTTTGCCTTCCCTCCTCCTGTTTCCCCACGTCTAAATCTATAGCAGCGAGAACGGTGAACACCCAAATGGGAAGCAATCGACACCTATTCCAGGAGTGCGGACATGGGAGAATTGAGATGGATTCAGGAGAGAAGGTGTCTTCTCATGTAGCATCTTGAGAAGGGAGGCTTGGGAGTGCAGCTTCTCAGAAGGAGACTGCTGCTTGCTCAGGATGTCGACAGCTGTGGCTTCCTTGTTTTTGCTAGCCATACTTTTAAATCAGGGTTGAACTGACAAAAATAATTTAAAGACGTTTACTTTCCTTGAACTTTGAATCTGTGAAATGCTTTTCCTTGTTTACAAGTTGGCAAAGTTGCAGTTTGTTTTTGTTTTTAGTTTAGTTTAGTTTTTTTTTTTTTTTGATACCTGTACTGTGTTCTTGACGGACCCTTTGTAGCGTGGTCAGGTCTGCTGTAACATTTCCCACCAACTCTCTTGCTGTCCGCATCAACAGCTAAATCACTTATTCATTTTGGTCTCGACCATCCACACCCCCTCCCCAGGTCCAATTCCATTTCTCCCATTCACAAGATGCTTTAAAGGTTCTGATTTTCAATTTATCAAACTAATGCAAAAAAAGTATGTGTTCTGCACTACTGATTTTTTTCCTTTGGAAACTATCACTATTGTGAAATGGGGAAAACCTGAATGTATAAAGCATTTATTTGTCAATAAACTGCCTTTTATCAGGAGTTTTCACATAATATTGAGGAGCTTCCCTGTAAGTTTTTTGACCTTTAATCTTCTGTATTCTCATCTCTGTCATGTCAGGGGTATCATGACTCTGTAAAAATCTAAAATATTAGAAAGCAACTACTGCAGATGTGAAAAATACACTTGCACAAAGACAGTGCCGTCGTGAAGTTATATAATGACTTCCCGTAATATTTATGCCTGTATTACTTTGATGCATTCTGAATAAGAGGGCCATCTCCCTAAAATATATTAATAATTTTCAGATAAAATTATACACATACTTTTCCTAAAGTGGAATTAGAGTTCATTTCCTATTTGAG